CGTCTCCATCTGGTCCGACATCAATGATCGCAATTTAAAATGGAGGCCACGGACTGCGCCACGGAGCTTTTCGCGGTAAACACGGTATTTACCGGGTATCCTTTACCCTACCCTTTATCTTACCCCTTGGCATGGTGGACACCTTTACCCTTTACCCTTTTACCCGGTAAAAAATGGTAAATTACTTTACCTTGCCAAGGCCTAGACAGAACTCCGCGAGGAGCAAAGTCGCAGCGTAGAGAAGCTCCGCGAGGCGATCGTGCGCCTCCCGGAGGGTCGCCTCCACCGACGGCGAAGCGTCGAGCGCCCGAATGGCGCCCTGCTCCGCTAGCAGTGTCTCCACATCATCCTCCAAAGCTGCAGGCGGCACGAGGTCCTCGTCCTCGCCGTCCGACATCCCGGTACGTGGCCTGCGACTCGTAGACATAGTCTACAGCTAGCTGTATAAACTAGCGTGTTGGCCACTTCCAACACCAGTTGTAGTGAGTCCAACTGAGTCGGAGATGTTGTTCTTTAGAGGCAACACATTTTTTTGTAACATCAACCCGCTAAAACAAAGGGATAACTGCCCCTTCACCAGATACAGCCTAGGGTGGTGACCACCCAGCTAACTACTCTATACATAGGAGTTACAGCTACGAAGGGTCTGACCCTCACTCGGGTCCCCGACCATGCGTTGATGCCTCGTAGGACGTAGAGCTTCCAGCCTCTAGACGTGGAGCTTCAGCTTGTAGAATGCAGCGACCCCGGTCCCTCTCAGGGACCCACCTTATATCCTCCCGGGTCGGGGCCGCTCCGCCCTCGGCCCCACCCGACTTCTTGAGCGTTCTCACTTCCTCTCGATCCCCCTCGAGAGCTCTCCCTGGACACGTGATCACCCCCTCCCCCCCCCCCCCCCCCCCCCCCCCCACATGGGGCCTTCTCTGTGGACACTCCAGATAACGTGTTTATAGGGTCAACCAGAGTGCCATGGTCCGGGGCAACCCTGCCCCTGGGCCGACACTCTCCCGCTCCCCCTTGTGGGAGCCAGCGCTACACGCTGTGCGTGGTGCCCGCGCTATCCCAGCATACACCAAGCCCCGCTAGGGCTGGTACTACACCCGCCTACGGGGTGTACGCGATGACGGTGCATCGCACGCCACGGCCTTCCCGGGCCGGCACCATATAGTGACATCCCCAATGTCACTACGCATGCGTTGAATTGCTTAGCTCAGTTATGAGAATACAATATCAACGTACAGCTCTTTATCAATCCACTGCTGGGGTAAAGCCCCCCCATGCCGCATCAATCATGGGGATTGTTTGACCATACTTTGCCTCGCTGGTCAGTGCGGGTTGATGTAGGAGGCACCAGTACCTAGTTGAGAAATAACTCACCAATGATGTTAGCCATGGTCAGCTCGCCAGGTACATTGTTTAGTGGGCTACTGCTTGAGCTCATTTAAACTTTATAAAATATTCTGACCGTGTGGATGCAGTCACAAATTTGTATATTCTGTTGGGAATACATTTCCACAATGAAGTTGGTGCTTTTGTATTTTCTCTATATTCTTACAGATAAGTTTTGCGTCAATGTATGTATTTGTGAACGGTATTTGCAACATTCCCTTGAATCGTATCGTACATCAAGGCTACATTGCTGGCGCACCAACCCTTTATCGTTCACGCTTTGCTGCCAAACGCAGCTCGTTTGTGTAATGCCACTTTACTTTTACATCCTAGTTGACATTTTCATAGCAAATCAGAGAATTAAGGAACAACAGAAAACAACGTATTCTTAGTTTTTTCGGTAAAGTCACGTTGAAGAGAAACAACAAAATAACAAAATATATATAAAACAATAAAAATTCTCACGACGTTTCGACCATAACTCAAACGGTCATCATCAGGTGTGTCGGTTTGCATAAATTTATTTTGAAAACGGCATATTTATTTATTTATTTATATATTAAAAAATAACGTTTGCGTCACGCGCAACGATTGGCAGTTTGCCCAGGACTAGTCCATCTATTTTTTGAAAAAGAGGAGGGGGGAGACGAAATTTGTTTTTATGTATGCTGTCTGAAAGCCACTGTAAGCGTGAATAATCAATCAAGAACTGAAATGATTTATCAAATCTTTCCAATGATTGCTAAGATAGAATCCATCTTCTCGGTTGAAATTGTCTCTGTGCTTGTATATGTGGATAGCCTCATGAACGAATCTCTCATGGAAGCCAGATGGCTTACAAAGAACCTCCGTCTTGGAAAAGTCAATGGCATGTGAGCCTACTGAATTAGAACAATGATCTGCTACGGCCGAGGTGTTGGTCCTACCGTGTTTAAGGTCTGCTTTATGTTCACGAATGCGGTCCGAGATATGGCGTTTGGTTTCTCCAATGTAACTACTACCACAGAGGCAACTTAGTTTGTAGACACCAGGGTATTGTATGTCCGGAATCACATCTTTTACAGACGGAACCAGATCACGGATTTTATGTAATGTGTTGAAACGGACCTGGATCTTGTGTTTATTCAAGATTTTGGAGATCTTTTTTGTGATCCCAGCAATGTAGGGTAAAGTGATGGTTTTGAAAGGCTCCTCAAGAGGGTTCTTCTTCATGGTTTGAGTGATAGCTTTGCGGATTGTATAGTCGGAGTAACCATTAGCCCTAAGAGCTTGGTGTACGTGCTTGAGTTCACTGCTTATGTGTTCCTGGTCGGATATGCATTGGGCTCTATGATACAGAGTCTTGATGAGAGAATTCTTCTGTGATGGATGGTGGTGGGAATCCGGTTTCAGATAAGCATCCGTATGGGTAGCTTTCCTGTAGACAGAGTGGCTCATTGAACCATCAGGTCTCTTTTTAATTAGGACATCCAAAAAAGGTATCTTGCCATCTATTTCGACTTCCATGGTAAATCTGATGGCTGGGTGTATGGAATTGATGTGGTCGAAGAATTGGTCTAGAGCAGGCCGGCCATGTGGCCAGATGACAAAAGTGTCATCCACGTACCTCTTCCATAAGGTTGGGCGCAGAGTGGCAGTCTGGATGGCGTCAGTCTCAGAGAGAGAGAGTGGGTGATTTGCTCCTGAGGGTGGTGAAAGATGAGAGTATTGCCGTCCAAATAAGAGCACTAACGTACGATTTTCATGAAATCCGAATTAATGTCGTGATTTTTCAGTCCGCCTACAATAGTAACAACCACAATGGACTAGGTTCTGGTAAATATTTAATGTTTACAGCAAGCGATTACATACGTATTGAGACTCCCAGGCCTGAGGCAATTCTGAATCACATTTTAAAGGGATAATTTATTTCCTGCATTTTCCATCAATCCCCAGTGCGACCAATGGGTTATTGGAATTCTGCAATTTTGTCAGAGATTTGTAATCGCGAATAAGTGTCGGTCGTGTGTCTTAAGGCAAATTCCATCTGTTTCATAGTAATGCAAAAATATATATACTGAAATGATGTACAATAACAGGATGTACAATTAACTGAAATTATGCGATAAAAAAATGCTCCAATAATTTTCGGAAAAAAAGTCATTTTTAAATTGTAAAATACTCAAATATATACATGGCGCCTAATATATTGTGCACTGTTGCTCAAATTAACTACACATTATCAGAAACGCCTACAATTGTGCAGTTACCAACAGATTATTGTAGATATCGCCCAAGATTCAGCATAATTATGGGTCTTGCAGGAACAATGCATCCTTCGAACATTAGGAAAAACTGTTTTGTAAAATAATATATACTTTAATTTATTTTCCAATAATTATATGCCCTGTCAATTATATGCCCTGTCATGAGGCTCAACATCGATTTGAAAATCTCCCAGAATGGTGAAATAATTGCTTTTATTTATCTTCACACGATATTTTTTTTATTTATTCTGAAAGCCAGAATGCAGCAACATTTTCATATGATATTTTTTCGTGCAATCATTAGTGACCCAGCTAAGTCGATCAGCTCTCTACACTTGGGAACCCAGTTTTCATCACAGGTGGGTGCCCTGATTCAAACCTATGGTCTTTATATTGCCGCTAAATGCTGTAACCTCTGAGCCAACTGCTCAGCTCATGAGAATTATATTTACATAAATTATTCACACTCAAGTTGAGAAATCACTTTGGCAACTGTAATAGCCGCATCACAATGTTCCTAGGCCATGATGAGATATGTTTGGATGACATGAAATTGGCGGCCAACGATGAGAAATCCCTCTCCAATTCTTAAATTTGTACTTCCTCAGGTTAACATTTCTGACGGTGACACATAGTGTCACAATGTGTCACTCCTGTGACAATAGGTTGCTAATGGATTTACTGATGTGGCAAATTTGAGATCTCAAATGTAAAAAATTAAATGTGCCATGTGACCTTACACAGCTCGAGCCTTATTTAAATGTAGTGTTTAATTATCCACTACGTGATTAGTTGCCATTTATTTCAGGAGTAATAAGAGAACAGCAGTCATGAATTAATTTGTTGTGTTCGCGAGCACCCATGAAAGGCGACTACATCGCACACAATTGCGGTGTGGCCATCACCACTCTCAGCTACTTTTATCTCACCAATGTTGGTATTCAATTATGGCTGAGTAGACTTAGGGGAGACCCAGGACCAGTTCAGATAATCACGACTGATGTTGACCTTGGGCATGAATCGAACTCCGATCGCCGGGTTCAGAGCTAGTGCATTGCGCTAACTGCTACTTACATACGTTTACCTTCTTTCCCATCGTACATAACCAACCATGTTAATCGGCGGTGTGGGGGAAGGACAACAAACGAAACACTAATATTAGTTCTAAAGAAATTAGTTTTTAATCGAGCTAATTTAAAAGTGTACATCTCCAGTGGCTTCTTAATAACATAAGGAAGAGCGTTCCAGACGGCCGCAGAAACGCATCTGCAAGTGCGCGATGCAGTGACCGACTTTGCTCTATGGTCAACCAAAACAAAACCCTACGCTACCACCCCCCAACACGCAACGCCGCCAATATGAGAACACTCATCCGCACCCCCCCCCCACCACCGTACACGTCCCTCGCTCGCTCGCTCGCTCTGCTCCCCCACTCTGCACACGCCGCTGCCAGCTGCTGCTGGCTCTGTGCTGCCCTCCTGCTGGAGCAAGCTTCGCGTGCCAACCCGGTAAGTGCCAGTTGCACTTCCATTCGACACATGATGATGGTGATAGTAATGATCGGTGGCCAATTTTCTTAATTGACGGTGGGTGTGTTAACGTCAGTAAATGGTGCGATTTTCTTTCTTCATTTGCACATGCTCCTGTGACTATTTTGTTGGAGAGAGAACTAATGATACTCTTTTCGATTAAACATATTATTTGGTGACGCTGCTGCTGCGAAGGCAGTGGTGAATAAGCATAATCAACGATTAAGAAATCTCAAGAGCCTTGTGGCGCTATATAAGCTGTTATTATGCTGATATTATTAACGAATTTTTTTTTACATTGAAATGCACGTAGGCTTGCAACGTGTGATCGCATACGCCGTAGCATTAACAGCCGTGGAGAAAGTGACGCTAAATCGAGAATAAACATGATAGAGGGAAGGTTATTTAACTGTTATAGCCTTTAGGACGCTGCGGTGCAATAATTATGTAGCTCGTGAGGCTTGCGCGTGCAACAGTGTGTGTGTGGATTGGTGACTCAACCCTGAGCTTGTGCTAATGCCTGCTACGTGAAGGGCTGATTGTGCATTGAAAGGCAATTAGTGTGTATGGCCTCCAAAGCAGTTACCCAAGTGAAACGTTCTTCTGCATATTTCTAGTTTCCCCCTGATTGGCTTCTCCACCTTAAACCCTTCCTCGACCAAGAAGTCTAAAATAGACTAAATGTTTGTAATTGTTGCTGAGCTGGTGAGTGGTGGTGAAGTCAAGGATGTCTGTACGGTTTTAATGGTGCAGAAGTACACATAAGAGTAGATTAGGTAAACATTTGCTAACTCATGCACCACTATGTTTTATTGAAATAATTATTGACTATGTTTTGGCTATGTCTACCAATACAATTACAGCGTCTTCAGATAGCGGTCACATTTATACGCCATAAAAACAAAATTGTTTTCGCTTAAAAAAAAGTTTTTTAAACGTAAATTGTACGCATTTCACTCCATGACGTCTGGCCCGTCTCGGAACTAATTTCTCAATTGCGCCTGGCCAAATTATTTCTACCGATATTTCATTTTAGTGTGGCTTCTAAATGTAATCCTACACATTGCTTTTGCCATCGCAGTGGATCAACGAGTGTGCATGTAGATTGAGTGAACTGAAGTGTGTCAGAATAAGGCCAAGCAGAGATTGAGCCTTCAGAATAGCAAATCGGCTTATAGGCATTCTAGGCAAATGTCATTTGAGTCGAAAACAAGGCTCACGGCTGGACTCCGTGATCTGATGCAAGGAACATCGGTACTTTGCAATCTTACGTGAGTAATTTTTCAGGGTTGTCCGTTTGCCGATTGTTGAATTGTGACACCAAAGAAGAGGCCATTGAAAATGTGAAAGTTAAATGTGGGATAAGCGTTTTTCTTTTGCGCAACATTCACAACCACTGGAGGATATTTTTATAATTTAATTTCAACGAAATTAATTTCAACGAAATTCAATTCTGTGCTTTAAATGTTTACATACACATGAGTAATGCACAATCTCCAGCTGAAAATGTATTATTATCATCATCATCAACAACATCAACTTTACTTTCATCAAACAAAACGTAAAGGTCTGGGGTTCGCACATAATCGAGTAATGGACTGCGTGGTGCATTTAAATGTGTCGAGTTGCAGGGAGACTTTTCACGGGTTACATTATAGTCGGATGATTGGCACACAGCTTCATTCATTGAGCAGAACAAACGGTTTTCCTTAAAACCTTCTGCTGCTAGACCACCCAGATTTAATGGCTTACCAAAAATCCATAAAGAAGGTACACCCCTTCGTCCCATCGTCTCCACCATTCGCTCACCCACCTACAAACAGGCCCGATATCTGTCTGAGACCTTACAGCCATTCACTGGTAAGACCACCTCTTCTATACTTAACTCAGCTCACCTGGTATGACAGGTTTGTCATCTGGTCACATGGCCGACAGGCTCTGAATCAATTCCTCAACCACATCAATTCCATACACCCAGCCCATCACATTCACCATGGAGGTAGAAAAGGATGGCATGCTACCTTTCTTGGATGTCCTAATCAAAAAGAGACCAGATGGCTCAATCAGCCATTCTGTCTACAGGAAAGAAACCCATACTTATGCCTACCTAAAACCTGACTCCCACCACCCTCCATCCGAGCAGAATTCCCTCATCAAAACTCTACACCATAGAGCTCAATGTATCTCCGACCATGAACACCTAACCAGTGAACTCAAACACGTACACCAAGCTCTCAAGGCGAATGGATACTCTGACTACACAATCCGCAAAGCCATCACCCAAACCGTGAGGAAGGAGCCATCTGAGGATCTGATCAAAACCATCACCTTGCCATATATAGCAGGGGTAACCAAAAAGATTTCCAAAATCATGAACAAACACAAGATTCAGGTCCGATTCAACACAGTACATAAAATTCGTGATCTGATCCCATCTGTGAAGGACAAGATCCCTGACATGCAATATCCCGGCGTCTACAAACTAAGCTGTATCTGTGGCAGCAGTTACATTGGAGAAACTAAGCAACCTTGTTCGTGAGCACAAGGCAGATTTGAAACACGGTAGGACCAATACTTCTGCCGTGGCTGATCATTATTTCTAATGCGGCTGGCTCACATGAAATGTATTTCTCTAATATAAAGGTACTTTGCAAACCCACTGGTTATCAACAAAGATTTGTTCATGAAGCCATCCATATATACAGACATAGATACACTTTCAACTGAGAAGATGGGTACAAACTCAGCAATCACTAGAAGGACATTACCAACCATTTCAAGTCATAACTGGCTGTCATGTTTCCATTTTATACCTAGCAGCCTTTTAATTGGTGCATGCCCACCACCAGGACCATCACTGCCCACTACTACCATCACCACTAGCAGTAGCCCTTTATTGGTGGAAGTCCACCACCAGTACCATCATTACCCACTACTACTGTAGTGACATAGACTGTTACTGTACCGTAGCGCCGGTTGCCCCATTTGGATGAGCTAAGGGCTCGTGACCGGAAGCGGAGTCTCGATTGGAGGAGTAAAGGACACGTGGCTGAAAGCGGTGCCTCGATTGAATGACCTAAGGGCACGTGACCGGAAGTGGGCCTCAATTTGAGGAGTCAAGGTCACGTGACCGGAAGCGGGGGTGCCGTCCTTGATACAGCAAGGGCCGGGGCCAAGGGATAAAGGGGGGAGCGCCGGGGGGATTCGGGGCTCGTTCATGGGGATCAACTCAAGGGGTCGTCGCTCTTCGGTCTTGGCTCTTCGCTCCTCGTTCACCGTAGAGATTTAACTGGGGATCGTGGGTCAGGCAGCGTATGTGCTGGCTGGCCCGTTCATTCAGCTAACTCACACACACATAGCGAACAGTCTAGGAAAAGTATAGCCACACTTAACTGTAGAACTCGGTGATTAGTGACGTTGTTTATTAAACACGTTGCCTCAACCAATAGTGTGTGCGCCTCAGTATTTACATACACTACACTACCATCACCTCTAGCAGCAACTTCCACCGTCAGCAGTGTGATTGTGTAAAGCAATGTGCAATGATTACCTGGCAGCCCTTTAATTGGTGGAAACCCACCACCAGCGCCATCGTTGCCCACGACTACCATCGCTTACATTAACATTAGCTGCCCCGCCCATGCTGCTGACACTTAGGCTACGCCCATTTTAAACCTCTAAAAAAAGTTTGCCTTTAGAGGCTAACCCCCCTTTTCCTGATGACGACCGCTTGTGTTGCGATCAAAACATCGTGGTTTTTTATTTAAAATTTTGTTTAATTCCCTTCATATATTTTTACTATCTATGTGACTTTACCAAAAGAACCAAAGAATATAAATTGAACAATAATTTTTTTTGATATTTTGCAAATTGGACGATTTTTTTTTGCTTTAGATCACAACTCACATTCAAAGAAATTACCAATAAAACCAAATATAACGACCAAATCCGTAAAGTATTTAGGAACATTAAAATGAACGCAAATCCGTGAGACAATGTGAGTCCACTAGACAAAGCAAAATAGTTGCTCGAGGGATACTACTGGAGAATAGAACAGAATATTTTTGCCTAGGGGAATTACAAACGGGCAGATTGGGTTTCATAACGATGACAATAGATATGCTTGAGAGCAGGATAGTGTGTTTTTTATTTTTTTATTCGAAAATGAAAAACAACATACCAATGTGTATAAAGAAGACAATTTTTTAATCGGTGCATATTATCTGCTATAACATGGAGATCAGAAACATGGTGATTAATTCCGAAAATGCACCAATGGTAAAGAGCATGCATCGGCGTGTGGACAGACGCATGCTTGGAATTACACAGACACTGTGTGCGAGCTGAGCCATCGACGCGATGGATCTCATCGATGGCACATCTGGCAATGTGAATAAAGTGAGTGAGACGTAGCAATCACGCATCACATAAAACAGCGATACAGAAACAAGAGCGCGTGGATTCGAGAACGTACCCGATTTAGTGATGTATGTATGTATGTTGAACTTCGTTGCACATCGTACTGAGTCAACCGTGCCAATTGGAGGTGCGACGTTGTTATTGACTGTCAAGGAAAGTAAGTGGGTTCGAGCCAGACAATGACACTGGTGGCAATGGCAACCAATGGAGAGAATACTCCCAAGAGGACAACCGTCCGTGTTAATGTGAGTGATGTGATCAGCTCATGTGCAAAAGCTATGTGGACTCTAGCATGGCAAGACACTGAAGGCAGTGGATTAACCATGCATATTATGGCATTATGATTGCTTCTCGTGTTATATTTGCATGATATCCAACGAGAAGAAGAGTAAGGTAATGGCGCACGCGCCGTTTTAAATCAAAGATGTTATTTAATTTACCGCAGTGTTTCATTGCATCAGTATCTCATCAAAACTGCATAACGCTGTCCACTAATTAAGGGAATAGGTTTGCGAGCTGACACATTAAATCGAAATAGAGATGCAAGTACCTGAGGATGTACATAATCAGTAATTCTACTGTGACTGCTTTTATAATCCACGAAGACTCCTGTTAACTTATGGTATGGTGGCCAGGATAATCAGGGCGAAAAAATGACGTATTCTCCATGTATATCTCTACTGCATAATAATATCCATCAGCCCAAATATACCAACATGAACGATTATGATCAACTGCATTTATTAATTCCACTTGTTGCGGGATTTAAATTTGAACCACTTTGACAGCAGACAATTTCAAAAGCCATTTATGTGCTACAAAGATTCCTGTACTGTACATCTGATCACAGGGCTCAGACTTCTCCCAACCCATCCAGTGGCAAAATAATCCCCACATTGTACTCGTGAGTAATCACACTCATTACGCCAAATCTGTCCGCTCGGTGTTCCACTCACGTCACACTTCCTTTCCAACATTAATTGATTAATTGTGTAGCAATTGAATAATGTAACACATTAGTGGGCAAGTTGCAATCTTTATTGGGTACAAGTAGCACTTGGGTTGCTTTCAGAACCTTTCAAAGCTTTGAAAAAAATTGTGCACAAAACTGCAATCTACAATTAACAGTTGATCTTATTCATAAATATGTCTAATCTTTTATTCAGATGCATAGTTGTTTGACAGATTGATAGGCATGCTGGCATGTCTCATCTTGCAGCATACTACGTGGTTTTTTTTTAGCCTCACTCGCAAGCCTTACAGTCATGTGAACCCATGCGGAGTTCAAAGCCCAACATTATGTTCATGCAAACGTAGTTTCCTCTCGGCGAAATGGGAGCCCTCACAATCTGTCAGTGAGAGCTGGGATTTACTCTTGCACTGGTTAAATGATAATTTACAGTTCATTTTGACCAAAATATCTATACAGCATGAACGGTGTTTTATTTGTTTGGATAATCGGGATTTAGAAACGTACCGACTTAAGTGCAGAAAAGCTACCATTGATGAATGAGAAATGCTCCAAAGCTATTTAGAAATAACATTTACTGTATTTGTAAAATTGCTTCTGGCAAAAGGGCCACATTCAGCCATTATTATCATGGGAAAGCAATGAGGTTTTCTACCACATGCCACCACCCCAGTGCAGCACCCTCCTATAAAAGAGTCAAACTTTCCTGAATATAGTACATTATTTATTTGTTATTTTGTATCTGTCAATCCTAATTCCAGGAAAAATTTGTTGCATTAAAAACCTAACTGCTGTGGGACCATCATCACCATGACGAATGTCATGCGAGTATAACGAGGGAGGATTTGAAGGTGAGGGGCTGATGCGATCAGCCCGAGCTATTTCTCTAATCCTATAGCCATAGCCATAGCTTGGCGGGCAGGGTCCACAGACCAGAGAAATCAAATCAGATCATTTGGCCCCATCGTCTCTGACAGAAGATGGAATCTAACTAAAAATAAGAAAACAAGTTCATACGTAATGTAAAAATCAGAAACCATGCTCAAATTACTTCTGGATGAAGGCCTGCCTACACCGTTGACATATCTCATGGCCCTACAATGCAATTAATCCAAATAAAAACGTGCACACGTGCTCATTCCATCACTCAGTCTCCACGGTGAACGTCCTATTGGGTGCGCCTCTTCCTTTTCTGCCACTCTGTCGTTATTTTCGACCACCGTCCTTACATCTCTTCTTGCGACGCTGTTCTGCCCAAGCCCAATTCCTCTTTTGAGTCGCCAAAATGATGTCTGTTCTCAAATCCAATATGCTTCTCTTTATATCTCTCAGTGTAATTCCAAGCACCTGTGTCAGCTTTTGATCCATTGCCTTTGTCAATGTCCCATGTTTCTGATCCACGTGTCATAGCGGGTAATATGCAATGATGAGCATAAGAAGCATATTCATCCTTCTTTATTGCTCTGTGCATCTTTACAGTTTATTTGATTTTATACTTTTGTATAAAATAAAAACCCCAGAGCTATAATATTATTGATTTGGTCATGCTGGTGTTGTGTAATCGTTAGCACATTGAATCTGCAATCCATCTCCTGGTGTGGCAATTGAATCAATGGGACAAGTTGTTTAAATCCTCCCAAGTCTGTCTAACCAGCATTACAAGTAGGTAGTCCGCAGGTTATGTGCAGTGGGGTAAAGTGTGGGTGCACCTTCCTCTTCCAAGATTTCTGGTGAGCGTGGAAGAGTAGGCAAAATACTCCTGAGAGGGGTCTCTATCTAGAGCTCTCTCTGATGGAGTTCCTTCCGCCAGCAGTGGCGTGAACAAGCAATTGCAGGGCTGCGTTTTTACCTTTTAAATCACCCAGGGCTATAGCAGTGCATGTGAAGTAAGTGTACATATTCGATTGTGCTTGTTTTGTCTTTCAGCTGAGACAGAGTCACTGCTCTCGCCGCCCAAAGGCTCCGGAGTACGGACGTCATTCTCCATGGACGCCATGGAGAATGAGGTGGACATGCGCAGTGAGCTGGAGAAAATGCAGGAGCGTGCGGACCAGGTCACAGACGAGGTGCGTAAGGACTGGGCGCATGCCACACGTTGACACGTATGGCCACATTGTACGAGGGACTCAACGTTACGTGTGGAATGCTGTTGTCACAACCCTCTGTTCTTTTAACTTTTTAGATGTCATTTTTTCTCCCAATTACTTCATATCCAACGATTCTATTGGCGTTATGCCATGAGACAAGTGCCTTTCCATTTGCAGCTTTAACACTCTAGCGATTAGAGAATGATCCTGGAAGATGACATTACAGAACTACGACACAAACATTATTAAAGGGATAAAACATTTATAGCCAAAATATTAGATTTGAGGGAAAAAGCAAAATTGTTGTGACTTGTGTTGGTTTCTAAAGGTTACTAAACAACTAAATATTTAATTTGTTCTTTTACTGACCTTAAGCTGCGTTTATTATTGCAGTGGAATGTATAGAAACATATCTGTCTGAGCATGGCACATACCTTCTGTGTAAAAGCACAGGTCTAATTACTTTTTGAGGTTCTACAACACATTCGATAACTTTTGAGTTGTGACATAGCCAACACGGCAGCGTGTAGCATAGTATCGACAAGGCTTGATTATTTCAACTCACTACTATACGGGACGTCTGACAAAAACATTACCAAGCTGCAACATTTTCTGGCACGTGTCGTGACGGTTAATGCAAGATCTGACCGTGTCCATCCAGTGTTTGCTAAGCTGTATTGGTTTCCGGTTGTCGAAGTAATACATTTTAAGGTCACACTCATTGTACACAAAGTGCCCGCCACAAATGAACCGCAAAAGCTTGCTGATCTTGTCAAGGGGCATAAACCATCACGCAAACTCCAGTCATCCTTGCAGCGGCTTTTGGCTAATCATCGAACAAAGACGGTCACTGCATTGCATGCTTTCAGATGGACTTCTGCGGCCGTCTGGAAGGCTCTTCCTTCCGATATAGCCACTAGAGCTATGTACTTTTCACATCTAGATGAAAAAAGTCTTATTTTAGAACTGCTTTTTGTGTTTAGTTGTCCTTCTCCCGCACCTCCGTGTAGCTCGGTTGGCTACATATGGTGCGGAAGAAGTAAAAAATACATACATACGAAGTATGTATCAAAGGCTTTAGCCGATTAATGCTCAGCATCCCATCTACAATCAGAGAGATCTGGATTTAAAAAGCTTAAAAATATCTAATATCGGCTTCCACTTTGTGTTATATGGTACATAGATTATATTTATTTATAACCAGCAATAGTCCATTTAAACCAGAAGTCTATTTTTCAAGGGAAATTCAAGTTATATGTGATCTATATGAGTGCTTTGCAAATAAAAAAGAGAGCCCTGGACTCACATTAGTATTATAACATATGCAGACAAATAATACACAGTCGTCATAATCTTAAGACATTGGTCAGGGAGTTGCTTATCCGACATACAGGGGCTGCTTTTTACATTTAAAATGTTTTGCTCTATTTCTCTCCTTGTACTCTCAATGCGTTATGTTATACTATTGTAGTGAGTTCATCTGAGTCGCAGACGTTGACTTGGAGGCAACACATTTATTCAGTTCCAACACACGGGGTAACTTTCCCCTCAACAGAATAACAACCTATGGTGGTGACCACCAGGATAACTACACTAGTTACCACACTAGTTACCACACTAGTTAGTACACTAGTTACTACACTAATTACTACACTAGTTACAACGTTACTGTTACTACGGACCGGGACCACAGCTTCAGCCCGGGTCCACGTATTGGAGACTTGTTGAACGGAGAACGTAGATTAAGGGTTTCTTCCAGGATGAACAACAACCCTGGTCCCTCTCGGGATCCGGCTTATATTCTCTGTAGCATGGCCGGCTCTGCCCCTGGCCACGTCCTTCTTCCAGAATCCTCGGGAAGGATCTGGGTCCAAATCACGTGACCACCCATAGCCTTAACTGGTCACGTGTCCTCTCGGGTCAACCAGAGTGCCATGGCCTCACATAACCTCATCCTTCGGCCGGCACCCACACACCCTGTCCTGTAGGGTCGGCACTGCACGTAAAGCGTGGCGCCAAATAGCGCTATTATATTCAACGCTCACGGGGCTTCTCTAGGGCCGGTACTACACCCAGCATGTTGACATCCAGCGATGTCACTACACTACAAAGCTGATTTGAAACAGTAGTAATCATAACATCACAATAATAGTGCCCTTTTATTTTTCCAGGAAAGCCTCACTGACACTTAAGACTATTTTTCAGGAGGGTCCTGCATAGGGATGTTTGGCCAATTCTATTTAAGATGATTTTAAAAATAGAGTACTTTGACAAATCTCCCGAGGGTGTAACGCGCATTGCTCTGCACAGATATGTTAAATAATCCATTGCTCCATAATAGAGGTTTTTTTTTGGTTAGTTTACGAAAGCCTACGTGTTAAACTAATTTATTGCTGCAATACCATCTCCTGGCCACGTCCCACCCCAAGCCTACAACATCTGTTACTCCCAGGCAGTCTCCGATCCAAGTACCGAACAGGCTCAGACCTGCTTAACGTCTGAGATCTGATGAGATCGGGCGCATGCATGGTGATTTCATTGTAATGCAGTATTTGATCATTATTGAGTGTAATCATTGATGATGATGATTCTGAGATGACAATCTCCATTTACACGAGAAATCATTTTTCACCCATAAGATGAGCCTCCTTTTGTCACTTGTTTATGTCAGGGCTTGAACCAATGATCTTAAAGGCTCTCAGTAGTCTGGTGTGACACAACCTCACGGAGCAACACAGCTATCTCACACTACAAGTTCAAATGCAGGAACTTTATAAGATATCGAGAATATCTGCTTCTGAGGTAGAAATAAATGTGACTTATCATGGGAAGAAGGGAGACCTATGTAACTGATAAACACCGAGACTTTTAACGTCTAATGTTCCAGGAAGACTTAAAGATTTCCCTGGACAGCTCTCTCAACAAGAGGCCAATCCAGGTAAAATAAACATTAGGCCAGGTGGCAACCGTAATGATTGCACAGCTCCAACTTAACGTAGCTGTTGCTTTTCACGTGACAGATATTCCCATGGCAGATACAATCCACGGTGGTCGTAGTTTTTTCAAGGAGATTGCTTATGTTGGGTTATCCTGCCTAACCTCCCTATTACCACGCTGCTGGAGGAGCTGATTGTTCGTCCGGTGCATGTGAGTGTCAAACATAAATAGTTTGTGGTCATCAGGATTACAGGGGAGGAGATTTATGAGATTAGACAGCAGCCATAATCTTAGTTCTACCTACATTCTTGGGCATTTACCAGAAGGGATTTATGAGTGCTGTTTTCCTTTATTAATCAAAAGCAACATATATACACAACACATATTTAGAGAACGTGAATATTCAAAAAATACACGTGTGTATTTCGCAAGATGTGTCAAATATTCTCGCCAGCGAAAGTCAAACTAGTCCACGGAGAGAGCAGAACGCTCTGGGACTATGGACTATTTTCAATGCAATTGACTGCTCCGTATTTGTAGGGTAACTCAACGATATCACGCAGCATGGAAGACTTGCATGAGTAAACTATATCTATATATATTTTAAAAAGTCAAAAATTGTGGCGGGGTTTGTGGGTTTGTGCGTGGGTTTGTGTGTGGTCGCGCGCTTGGCTCTCCAACAGTGAGGTTTACGTAAAAAAAATTGCCAGGTACCACGCCGGAAGCACCGCGGTGAGCAAGCGCTATTCCTTTTTCACATCCGTCAACTTGAAATTAGTTTAATTAGCGATTTAGCGCGATTTCTGTGCGCTTCACATTTATTTATGACTCGTGCACGACCATACCAACTCACGCACCTTTGGTGGGGGGGGGGGGGGGGGGGACAGCCCATACCAAGTCGCACGCCTTCGGTGGGAGTGAGGGGGACATTTTCTTTCGCGTAAGAAATGCTATAAAGATACATTAAACACTCAGGTAAATTCTTCACTGTGTAATGTCCCCCCCCCCACCCCAATGCTTGCAGTTACTACTACTACTATACAGTCGCTAGATGCTACCACTATAGGCCGTAGATATTACTGTAGAGCGGCCGGGGAGATCGTGGCTGGGGGGGGGGGGGGGTCAGGGGTAGCAGCCCAGCCTGCCAAGGTGCCACCTCGGCCGGTTGGACAATCTAGGCGAGGCCGGAGGCTCTGCACGGGACTAGGCCTCACCACGCCACTGTCAGGTGAGCACTTTGTGCTATAGTCGATAAATACTGCTATAGAGTCAGCATGTACTACTGTCGTGATAGCAGGTACCACCACAGTCGGTATGCACTGCTGTAATCATAGCAGGTACCACCGCACGGGACTAGGCCTCACCACGCCACTCTGTCAGGTGAGTACTCTGTGCTATAGAGTCGATCAATACTGCTATAGAGTCAGCATGTACTACTGTAGTGATAGCAGGTACCACCACAGTCGGTATGCACTGCTGTAATCATAGCAGGTACCATCACAGTCAGTATGCACTGCGGTTAGATTTTTAAGAGTAGTTTTGAAATATTTTAAGACCGAGGCAATGCCGGGTACTTCCTGCTAGTAGTATATAATGTTATTTTACATTTTAATGTTGAAAGAATGCAAATATTATAGTCACCCTAATGTATTCACATGCTAGATTTACAAAAAAATACTCAACATATTTTAATGAGCTGTTGTGACCAATATATAATTATGGATTTTGGAACAATGGATGGAAAAATGTAAGCCTGACCTTCAAAATGATCCTTGTATGCTGCAGCTTAATGCCGACTGGAAAATGGCCTTACGTGTAGAAAACACATAAACATTGTACACAGTAGAGCTACATGTGTACATATGTATTTATTCACACACAAACATATGTGTGGGGAGCGGTGGTGTAGTGGTTAGCACGCTGAGCTACGAACCTGGCGATCCAAGTAAAATTTCCGCTCATGGCCAACCCCAGTGACGGATTATCTGAACCGGTCCTGGGCCTCCCCTATGTCGACTCAGTCTCAAGGGAGTTCCTTGTGC